TGTAGTCCTCATCTAATTTGGACTTTTGCCACTGATGAAAATATTTCTTCTTTTCTTTGATAGAAATTTTGACCTCTTCATTCCACGATGCTGTTTGTTTCATGTGCCTTCTTGGCTTTCGGAGTCCGCACTTTTATGTCATTACATTCAGGATGCAGGTTTTAAAAATTTGCCACTCTTCTTCTATGTCATTATAACAATAGATTATCCTCGCTAATTTTAACTTTAGGAGAAATTTCTCCACGGATGACATGGGTATTTTTTTTTACTTTTTTTTAATAGGATTTTAGTTCTAGTAAGACTTCTTATCAGGGCTTCCCCCCCCCCCCATCCCCCCCCCCCTCCTCGAAAGAAAGGTGCCATACTCACCAGAAAGCATATAGAAACGGGCGCCGGTTCTCACCACAAAGTTTTTATTTATTACAGCAGCACTTATAAAAAAGTGATGCATAAAAAAGTATCGGCACCACTGCGTACGATTGCGTACCCCCCCCCCCCCCCCCCCCAAGGCTTACTCGTTATACTGACTGTTATCGATAATCATCATCATCATTATCAAGTGCCTTGCCAGCCGGAATAAGTTAAATTTCGTACTATAGTGTAAAAAAAAGCAAGGACTCAAATGTTGTTTACATTGTCAAATGGACATCTTGGCAGGAATTGAGTTTTTTTGTTGTTGTCCGTATTAATTACCATGCAGTGACAATTGTATTTATGACCCTATTTTTTTAGCATAATTCACGATAAAGAAAGAATAATTGTGGTGAACACTTTTTATTGACTTCCCAACTTAAACCCTAATAGAGAATAACGCAACACGAAAACCTTCAGTTCATTTTTAAGCAGAATTGACTGACTTTTTACCCCACTAGGACATCACACTAAGCGATAAACATCCGGTGACACAACATGTTACCATTCGGATGAGGATTACCCGTGGAGAGGTCTCAGAAACCCCGTTCAACCGTTAGGTTATATGAAGGCCCCCGGCAACAACCAGGGTGAGACTTCAAAATAACGAACAACTTGTCCCACGTGGGGACGGAGATTATATAGAACTATTAAGCAGACATGTATGGCGTCTCTATTAATAATTATAATAATAATAAGAACACACAGGAGCATGCTCAGCAGGGATCTGCCGGTCATCAGAAGAGATCCTTCGTCGACAATTTTTCTGCCCATTGCTTTCCTAAACAATCTCGAAAGGTGGACCGACCTGGGCCATGAAGCCAGGCCCCATCTTCCCCTGCTGCACTTCATCTGACTCGATAGGGACATGACGATACGGGGACACAAAAGGTACTGTGCGATTTAGTGTTATATTGTCGCTGTGGTGGCAAATTAGATCAGTTGACTACCTTCACAACCAGAGTGACAAGCTTATTGTTAATTCATCAGATAATAGTTAGATTTTTGCCTTTGGCAGAGAGACACCGGCAGACATTTATAGGACACTGGATTTTAAGGGATAAGAAGCTCATTTTCAGCTAAGGACTCGGACCAGTCTACCGAGGCCCACCCCCACGACGTTCCGCTGCGTCTAAAGCCAGCTCAAAGCTTTTTCAGAAGCTTCGCTCAGTTGTTTTAGTGATCGTTTACACTCGTTTTCTAGCAAGCCTAGCTGCTTTAGCAAATTGTACGTGGAAGTGGAGATAAGACCTCTTGCGGCTACCTCGACGGCGAAGATTTTTACTGCGTACGCTTCGTCTCTCCTCAGACCGGCCACGAGCTCACAGTACTTCTCGAGCTTGTACATATGATTTTCTTCCATCCGCGACTCGTACGGCACGGTCAGCTCAATCGGGATGAGCTGACGTTTTTTTCCGCAAAGTGCAGAACTATGTCAGGTCTCAGGACGGTCTTCCGGATTGACTCTTGGTACCTTTCGAAACCAGGCAAGTCGACAGATAGTAACCAGTTCCTCGCAGTCAAGTAATGATATAGAGCATGCGACCTTGTGGATTTTACCTTTATAAATCTGCACAGGCTTGAGGAAGCGCATAGGGGTGACGGTAGGACTGGCCCTCGTGTTGGCCCTCATTCTGGCTTGGTCCACAATGTCCACTAACTTTCAGGACTTTATTGTGGCGCCAAGTAAATCGTCCCAGGCCTACGGCTTTTCTGCACGCGGACAATACGTGCACGAGCGTTCGCTTAGCTCTGCATAGTGGACATGTCGGGTCGGTAGTCGCATGCCATTTCGCCATGTTGACGTCAGACGATAACACATCGTTCGCAGATTTTACGACAAAGATACATTTAAGGAACTTTGCTATTGGTAAACTGCAGGCAGACGAAAGTCAAGTTTCCAGAGCAGTCAAACCGCTGGCTCAGAGGAAGACAAACATCGCAGTGGACGACCCAGTGTGACAAAGACCCAGCGTGACAACTACCCAGTGTGACAACAGCAAAAGAAGTCACCCCTACCCCCGGTGACAGTCCAATATTTTATAGAGTGGCAAGACCAGATTTCCCGGCTTTTTGGTGCTTTTAACTACCCGAAAACAAATAGAACTGGACTTAACCCAAACCCACCTATGTCCGACGAGAGAATGCAGCCTAGGCCCAATGACTGTATGTAGCCTAGGTCCCCTGACTGCATTCAGTCTATCTACCACCCTTTTAAATATTGGACTGTCTGTTTAGGGTGACTTATTATGTAAGCACTACAGATTTATATCAGCTTCCTCAACTGCGCAGTCATTGTCTCCAAGATTACATGTGTCTGATAAAACTGTTCGGAATAGACTGCATGACGTTGGACTTTCGGAACGACGAAATCACCGACTTCTTTAGGTCAACCAGTATCGTCCTAGGACAGCTGACAATCAATGGAGGCGTGCTTGATTTGGTGGTGACTATTTTCTGTCAGTTGCATCGTCATGATAGACGGTATATGAACTACCGTAGGCAAAGTGAACTTTCATAGGTGTTTCGTCCTTTTTAGGACGAAAAGTTTTTGTTATTTGAAGCCCCACCCTGGCTTTTGCCAGGGGCCGCAATATAGGCAGGCCATAAATGGGGCCAATTGTCTGAACGCGGTTTTTGGGACCTCTCCACGGCGATCCTCATCCACATGGTGGCACTTTGTGTCATCGGGTGTTTATCGCTTGTGTGATGTCCTGGTGGGATAGAAAGTCAGTTAGTCAGTCAAATGAACTTTGGCCAGCCCTGTCTGCAGACATGAATCCGATTGAACACCTGTGGCAATGGCTGCATTAATATGTTGTCGCCAAAACGTTACTTATCCAATCGTCTGATCTGTTCCAGGAACTCCAGGAAGAGTGGGCAGCCATTCCACAGGCCCACATCAGACGTCTGATCACATCCATGGCTAGAAAATGCCGGTCGCTGATCGATGCCAGAGGAGGCCTTACACCATACTTGAAGCGGAAAGCCCGTACGCATAAAAACGTTTGATGACCCAATGCAAAAGACCTGTCATTGAATGGCTGAAACGTAAGGTATTATTGTGTGTCATTTGAACTATTTCACTCATTAAATTACAATGGTGTTGGATGTCAAAATTCTGGCTATGTATGTTCCTTTAAGAAGCTATGGGTTTTTTCCTTTCGTAAACACACACACACACACTCACATATTATATATGACAGCTCTTAAACAATAAAAGGGTAAGGAAATACAAAGTTGAAAAAAAAAAAAAAAAAAACTGCCAGTATTCACAGCAAACTAAAAATCACCACAGAGTCGAGCTATCCCATGGGTTCATTCGATCGATTTGTCCACTACAAGCAGTTATCTGAAGATTCACCATTACCATCATCATCATCATCATTAGGTGCCTTGCCGACTGGCGTGGGCGATCATAATTCTCCACAATCTGCGATCTCCTGCAGCATGTATAAGTTCGTGTGCTGACACACCTCTTTGCCATGGAACAAGACTGTCAAGAATTTTCTCTCGTTGTCTTCCTCTATCACTGTTTCCGCAGATTGTTCCAGTGGTCACAACATGTCCCATTTTCACTCTTTTCATAACTTAGCCAAAAAATGATGACTGTCTCCTTCTGATATCTGTGATCAGTTGTCTTCGAGGTCCCGCCTCTTTAAAAACCTCTTGATTGCCCTTTTTGGCTGTCCAATGTATTTTAATCATTTTTCTGTAAAACCACATATCTGAAGCCTCAAGAAATTGTTTAGCCTGCCTACCGATTGTGAAGATTCACCATTTTGAGATTGTTAAAAAAAAATATAATCTGGATTGTAGACCAACAAAGCAGATCCCGGATATCACGTTTAACCTCCGAAGAAGGGCATCCGTAACGGTCACACCAACCTGGTGTAACTTACAGACCCAGTAAACGGTTTCTCGATCGATTGGGTTGTCCCTTTTGAGCTGATACCTACAAGTTTACCATACCACCCTGAGATTAAAAACAAAATCTAATTCTAGACGAAAGATCAATAAAAGAGAACTCAGATACCCTTCTTGTTGAGTCTTTTAAAAAATGAGTCAATACAATTAGGGCACACATTATCTGCAGTCCTATAACGTCACAACGATAGCCTGACGTGTATCAACTAAGGGACGTCCTAAAAATAACGCAGGAATCACCCACAGAGTAGTTCCCTGGTAGCACGGAGATTCCAGACTTAATCCGCCACGTACTCGTTGCTACATATTCATACTCTATTCTATTTTCAAAACTAGTATTTGTAAACTATATAATTACAAAAAAAACATGTTTCTGAAGTGTAAAAAACATTACATTATTTTTTTTAAAGGCAAATAAGCAGCATCTCTCAATACTTACAAGCGTAAATTTGCTATAACTTAGCAACATTTTGCTTCAGCGGGCTGTCTTCCTGTGAGCGTTCAACTACGTGGGCAGGTCAATAAACAATCGGTACGTGAACAGAAGCATGAAGCCAAATATTTACGTGTCTGCTGCAATCCCAACGCTTGTAGTCGTCTTCTGCTGGGAAACTTTCACGGTTGCCGCGACCAGAGTGTGTCTGGTTTAGAAACGTTTCACAATGACTATGAAATTCATACTGTGTTTGCTCTTACTTTTTGCATTTGGATTATCACAGAATTGGAGTGGGGACGCCGCCGACCGGTGTTTTTGCAAGGTGATTTTATAACGATAACTGATTAATTTTTGTTGAGATTACGTTACTTACGGACCTAGGTTTTTAGAGCAAATTCGGTATTAGTATTAGTATTATTATTATGTTATTATTACTAATACTATTATTAGGATTATTTGTTGGGGACATATTATTGTAGCAGTGGCAGTTTGTAATAGCAGTCGCAAAGCGATTCTCTCATTTTGAGAAATATATCATTTGAAACTAAAGTAAAAACAAACAAGCCAAACTCCAAAACATAAATAAGCATGGAATTTGAATTAAGTAAATACAGCTAGTTTAATGGTGCTTGCAATACCAAGAACAGAAGAGCAGGAAATAAATTATGAATACTCACCTATTCAGTTAATTTACATTGAATATTTATCCTAGACAGGTTGATTTAAGCTGCTTGTTGTTCATTGTATAATAATATAGTATTTCACAACAGTGTATATATAATACTGTATTCCAATTATAACCCTGGTTGGTTGATCAGGATATCCATGTTTAGATTACTACTAAATGAATCACCTGTGCTGGAAACCCCATATTCAGTATAACTCGGATCTGATAAATAATAACATTATTTCTTATGTTGACCATAGACAGTTGATTTACTAACAAGTATAAAAATCTACAATGTGAAACAAGTATAAAGATCTACAAAGTGAATCAAGTATAAAGATCTACATTGTACTCTCTGCACAATCTGGGAAATTTGTTATTTGTTTAAATGTTGAAGATATAGCTCTTGCTTGCTCTTTCTTCTCTGAAACCTGCCTAGGCTTCTTGTTCTTGAATTCCATATTCCTACCTAGCATCATCATCATGTGCCCTGTTGACAAGTGTAAGAGGTCATGTTTCATCATCTCCTACAATCACCACAATCTCTGATCTGGTCAGTAGTTTTGTCTCACCCCATCTATATGACCAAACCATCCAGGTATTTGTCTCTTTGACTTCTCCTTGCTGTCTTTCCATCAATCTTGCCAGTGGTAACCAAGGTCTCCAGTCCATTCCTGCTCATACCATATCCAGAAAAGGTTCTTTGTTATTATCCTACCCCAGATGATGTCACAGGACAGTACAACATTTTAGAGGGTGGTAAGACTGGGTTTCTCGGCTTTCTTATGCTTTTAACGATCCCAAAACATGTAGAACTGGCCCTAATCCCAACCCACCTACATCCCACTAGAGAGTGCAGCATAGGTCCCACGACTGCGTGCAGCCTAGGTCCCACGCCTGCATGCAGCCTAGGTCTCACGACTGCATGTAGCCTATCTACCACCCCCTGAAATATTAGACTGTTCCGTGACCTGTGGATTTCCCCTGTTTGGGGTAGGATATTAATAAAGCACCCCAGATAACATAGCCTATTCATGTCTGTCTCAAATTCGTTTTACGGTTTTCATGTGTCTTGTAGAGGACTGCCTCATTGTTTTTTTCTATCATTCAGTGATATTCTTTGCCTTCTTCTAAAAAAATCACATCTCCGAGATGTTTTTCAACTTGTCTGCCGATCCATGCTTCACATGCTTGTAACAGTTAAGGTTCTATATGGCAATTTAACACTTTTAACTCATTTTTAACTAATTTTCAATCTTCTTTCGCAGTGATTTACAAGAGGACAGTGCTAGCATGGTTGATTAGTGCAATACTGCACTAGTTATGTACAAGTATAGATTTTCTTTATTTGTGTATGGAATCTGAGTTCCTTTCTTCTATGCTTTGGGCCAGACTGCGCTGTTAGATCTTCTGGAATAGTTCAGTTTGTATATTATCACAGTCTGGTGACTTTTCTTTCCTATGTTCAGCTGTACAGTCTGGTGACTTTTCTTTCCTATGTTCAGCTGTATTGCTGATAGCACTTCCTCTAATGAAGCTTTTTTTTAAACCTTTGTATATGAAATGTAGTTGAATAGAAGACGGAAAAAGTTCCAAATAATTATATGCAAAATGTATAGAAAAAACCATTACTCTAAAAAGCTACACAAAAAAAGGGGGGGGGGGGGGGTGTCTAAGCATCATAAACATATAGCAGAAAGTTAATTTACAACAAATGTATTGAGTCTACACCAAGCCCTCCCTACACTGAAACTTGTCGTGATCACTGGACAGATTTTATGGGAAGAGAGGTAGAAGAAGGCAACATGAGAACATTCTTGACAGTCTTTTGTCACCATGTGCTGCGTCAGCAGATGGACTGATCGATACACACTGTTGGAGATCGCAGGTTTTGGAGAGGCATGATCGCCCATGCCAATCAGGCCCAAAGAAAGCAAAGGCTGACGATTACAATTTAAAAAACAACATACATTTTTACTTTGTTGTTTTCAAGCTACATTTCAGTAAATCTGTTTATTGAGCCAAGTTTAGGTTAATGTTTTTTTGGGGTATTAAATGAGACATGTTATTTTTTAATGTGTGTAATATTTTATGTTTGATGGCTGTATCGGTGTATACTTCTTTTAGTTACATGGAGAGGTAGATGATTGCTCGTGTAAAGTAGAGACTTTGGATTCACTTAACAACAACAAAATATATCCACGACTCAATAGCTTATTGGCAAGGAACTACTTTAGGTATTTTAAGGTAAGCATACAATGTTAAGTTATTGTTTCTTTCTTTCATTGTTTCTGTATTTCAGCCCCCCCCCCCCCCCCCCCCCCCCCCCCCCCCCCCCCCCCCCCCCCCACCCCCTTTCCCCCCCACACACACAGTTCTAACAGTTTGATTTTTGTTGAACTGAAATATTGTTTTTAAATCGAAATCTAGGGCTACTGACCGATATAATTGTTTGCATGAAACGAGTCGTTCATTACCCTGCAGTGTTAGACATTCATCGTTGAAATAAGATATTTTGGGCCAAAAGAGGCAGGTATCGCAGCCTAGCTGTAAATCACTACACAGTGTGCCAGCTACCCTTTTAAGGGCAAACACAGAAGAATAAAATTAGGTGAAACTTCCTTATGCTTAAGAATCTCTATAATGGTGTGAGTTCTAGTTTCTAACCTGTATACTACCATATGTTTGCTTCACATATACTCACTTTGCCATTGGTTTATTAATAAATAAAAATACAAGTCACGACTGTCACCAGTTAAAACAGAATTGGTACAAATATTTAGCAAGGCAGTGCACACAGGTAGTAAACACTTAAGAATATAACGGTGATTTTTCCAACTGTCAGTTCCAGATGTTTTCTGGCAACTAATGCCCCCCTCCCCCGCCAAAAAAAAAAAAAAAAACACAGGACTGCTGTGGAAAAAGCTTGAGTGTATTTCTTTCAGAGATATCTGAGTATTTTGTTGGTTATTAAAATCTCGAGCCAGATTTCTTTTGTATGTTCAGGCTAGATGTAAGGAAAGTGTACGGCTCTTATTTGTCTCCATTACTGTACGGTGATATTATGTTTTTAAATTAGGCCATAAGGTGTAGTCCCGGATCCATGCCGTTCAAATTCCAAGTAAACTATTTGCTAGGAGTAACCTATGACAAAGACCAATGGCGGGCAGAAAAACGCCGTAACAAAGTCAACCGTTGAAACTGCTACAAACACGTCGTTGACAGGCAAATCCAAGAAGTTTATTGAACAATTCCTCACAGATATAAATGGTGTCAATAAAATGCATACATTCCAGTCACCGTATTCAACGACAGTTAGATAATTTCTTTCCTCCAATCCGGAGCAATGAGCCTGAGCTCCCCGCAAACTGCGGCATCAATTAGAATAACTCCTTTTACATCTACGGCAGAGCAATGAGCCTAAGCTCCCCGCCAACTGCGGCATCAAGTAGAATACAGCTAAGCCTAGTTTCCAACCTCTGCCATTAACACATTTCTTGCAACTGTCATCTGTCTAAAAATTTATGTCGGCAAGTGACGTCGTGTCCTCGTCATACCTCATGTTCATTATCGGTTGTCCGTAGTGTGGATCTTCGGATTGCACACAACAGCTTCCCCCCCCCCCCCCCCCTCCACCCTCTCTGAGAAACTGGGAACCGGGGTTCCAGTTTAATGGTCATTGTAATACCTCTGTTGAAACCATCCAAAGATCCAAAATCGTAACGTCTTCGTCCAGTCAACTCACAACGATTATGCAACCAATGGCGATCAATGTGTATCACATACTAACAACACATTTTGATATAACTATGAACTACCAACAACAGATTGCACACAACAGAAAGCATTGTTTGATCCACACAGATTTTAGCTGATCACTTAAACATGTTCTTGAAGACGTAAGGAAGGAAATGATCGGCACCAACATGTTTGAAATCGATTATGATACTGCTCTTGTTCCAAGCAGCTCTTGTTTTCACTAATATCGATTAGGCAGAGAGAGAATTTTATTGTTTACAGGAAGTGGGATGGTCAATATAAAAAGTAATATCCCCCTGTGTGGGTTCCGGGGCCCCATTGTGGGGAAAACAAGAATAGACCCACTGCCTCCCCAAAAGCATGTTGTAAGAGTCAACTAATTGGGGAGCTTCCTTTGAAGACGGAGTGCGTCTGCCGGAGAGGCAAGGAACCAACAGTCTGTATTCAAGAGAATGAGATCTGTAAAACTGATGCACACGCAACACTCAGGTTCTGGAGCAGGACTGCAGTTCAGTAGTGGACGAGCAACCAGAACCTTCCGCCAGAGTTTACAGCTGGTGAACGCGAAGAAGAAGAAGAAAAGTAGTATTAAAAACATTTAACAATCCCCTGTTAATTAATATATCAATCAGCATTTGATGGGTAATGTGGTCATTATCATCCCACGTTGAGTTGAGAACCTACATCATAGCACTTGAGACGTTCCCATAGGTGCTCTATCCCCAACTTCAGCAGCCAGCGCAGAGTTCCAATGCTGTTGGTACCCAGTAGCTGTCTGGTTGTATGTCTGTGTTCCTGTTTCCTTTGAGTGTTAAGTGTCGACCAGATTCCCTGGTCACTCCTCACTGCCAGTTACCTGTATTTCCCACAACATATCTATTGTGGTCAGTGTATGGATATATAGGGTTAGCTGTCTTTGAGTTATATTTCATTATTTGCTTGTGATGTGTTAACTGAACCGAATACCCAATTTCATAATATCGCAGGGTCAAGCACCTGAATAGCCATGGTGGGGGGGGGGGGGGGAAGAGTTTAGACTGAAAATGAGCCACATTGTTCATGCCTTGCATGGAAGGACTCACATCAGGAAAGTGAACATGTGGGTTGAGGAGTAGAACCAGTTCACTTCACGTAGTCAAATAGGAGAGATGCAGTCCTCTATCAAGAGTCGCGAGGAGCAGACACATTAATCTGGCAGTGGTCATCACTGTTGGGCAATATTTAGGATTTCTCAGCCTGGGCATTACCATGTTAGCACTGCATGTATCTGTGTATCACACTGGCTCAACAGATACAAATGATTTTATGTTCTAAGAAGATTGCCGATAGACCTGGGCTTGACTAGTGGGGATGTTCGTGATGCAGGTAATTGTTGAGGGAAGCCATAGTAATTCTCTGGTTTAAGCTTTAAAAAAATATTTATCTCTTTTAGGTGAATTTGAAGAAACCTTGTCCATTTTGGTCTGATGATAGCAGGTGTGCCCTGAGAGATTGTCATGTAGCAGTGTGTTCAAAGGTGAGTAGTGCTGGTTTGTCAAGAAAAATGTTTAATGATGAAAATTGGGAGATGAACATTTTCTGTGCAGCCATTTTGTCATGTACTAAAAATCCCAGTGTACATGAATTCTCAACAGTAAGAACATTCTTATCTTCTTCACGTTCACTGGCTGTAAACTCCAGCAGAAAGTTCTGGTTGTGTCCACCTCTGGACTTTAGTCTTGTTCCAGAGCCTGAGTGTTGCATGCACATCCATTTAACAGATCTGACTTAATTGTATGCAGATTGTTGGTCCTTGCCTCTCAGGCAGATGCACTCTGACTTCGAAGAAAGACCCAAGTTAGTCAACTCTTACGACATGTTTGTTAGGGAGGCAGTGAGTCTATTCTTGTTTTCCCCACAATGGGGCCCTGGAACCCACACAGGAAGAACATTCTTATGAAGGCATAGGTTCTCTGTAGTTATCTTTAAGTGATCTTGTAATTACTTGGTTAGAGTGCAAGTTGGATGTGCTGAGTTTCCAGTCACGTGTGTTGAGCAGTGACTGCTTAGTTCTGTCCCGGAAGGCACTGGTATTGATTGGGAACTTATAGTGTGAATTAGTAATTGTCGAATATGGCTGTAGTAGGTTTGACCTATTGAGAGCCTAAAGCATTTGTAAAGGAGATGATTGCTAATTTCATAAGGGTGAGAACCAGGGCTTTTATTTCTAGAACAAAAATGCCAGTACTCACCACAAATTGTCTAAAAATGTGCTGTACTTGTCACAGAGTATTTATTTACTACAGTAGTACACCCCCCCCCCCCCCCCCCCCAAAAAAAAAAAAAGAGGTATAAAAAGGTGCTGGTACTGCATACTGCCAGGAAAAGCTCTGGTGAGAACAGTGTCTGTGCAGGCATGTATTTCAGAGACAGTTTATATTTGAATTGTATATGACATGACATTACTGGAAAATTATCTGGTTTGTTCTTCATAGGACATCAGTGTAAATGACTTTTGGGACATTTCATAAAAAAAAAAAAACTCCTGCCTCTTGTTCCTTCTGCTCACATGTTCACATAATTTTCTGTTGTATATAACTTGTTTTCTTACTGCAAGACCTGTCCTTTTACTGTTTTAGCTTTTATTGATTGCCTTTTCCTAGTAGATGGCCAGGCCAGTGATTTCGATGCACAGCTGTGCTGACTGATTAAAATGTGATTAATTAGAAAGTGTTGCTCTTCTTGAACTCAAACTCTTCCCCCTCTGCGAGGGCTGAGGCACTATCGAGGCTGTATTTTTTTCTCATTTATTCTTGCATTGATATTGAATTCAGCATGTGAGATGTGGCATACCTTTCTGTCTCATTGATTGTTCATTGTCATATCTGTAAATTGCTCTTGTACATGGTGTCTACAATCTTTGTTGTTTCTCATGGTTCCACTTAATTTTACCCACAGCCGTTCCCATGTGTAGTAATATTAAAGTCTTGTATTCAAAAACTGTATTGAATAGCTGAATGCTCACTAAGTTAATAAATTTTGTTCCATACATATTTTTTTTTTCATTAACCCGCTAGTTCTGACCAGATTTTACACTAACCTATTCCTTGCTATCTAACTCCTGTGTAAATTAAAAACCTATTCTTTACTATTACTTCAACTTCAGTATAAATTTGTAAATTAGTTTTTTGTTTGTTTTAGTTATTACATTAGCTCATTGTGTCTCAGTTATTACATTGCCACTACCTACTTCAGTTGATTCAACTCCACTCTTTCCTTCCAACTTCTGGCTTTCTAGTGACATTGTAGTCAGTTTCTTATCGGTTTTTGCTGGTTTGTTGTGGTTTCAGTTGATAAAAATGAGTAAAAATATGGATAAATGTGGCTCAGTTCAGTTATATTCATTATTATCATGTGCCCTGACCAGCAGCATTGGTGCTTGTGTCTATCCACAGATTGTTCCTTGATATTTTGAATCAGTTTCACTGATGATATTCCACCATGCTATCGCTTCTGGCTGTCAAACAGCCTCTCTCTTGGTCTGCACCTGCCTCCTCTACCTTTGATCTTTCCAGTCATCACAAGGTTCTCCAGTGCCTTTCATCACATGACCAAAGAACACTGACAGCCTCTTTCTTATGTATATAGTTTTCTTTTTTTCATTAGCCATTTCCAGGCAGTCATTTCAATCACTCCTTTTATATTATTCAGATGAGAATAATATATAATCAGCGGAAATTATCTAGATATAATACATAAAAACATATGAGCTAAGGACATTCATTATTTTTATATCTCACATGCCGTTTATTAAATGTCTGTTGTTTCAGCCTCACAAATCAGTGAGTCATCTACTGTACATTACAGAATAGTCAGTGTCACAAATGTCACAATTAACAAAGTTATTCAGAAAAACCATTTTAAGATATAAAATCTCATATGATCTGTTTCACTACCAGTAATACACATTTTGTCAGACATCTGGTACATTCCTAGATATAAATCCTTATGTAAGACATATCAGTCATTATTTTATTAGCTGAGCCTGCAGTATTCATGAATTCTCTCAGTGCGTTTTTACTAAATCTTCTTTCTTCTTCTTTCTTTTGTCAAAATCTGCTTGTGCCGCTAGGCGTCGCAGTCTATCAGATGATGGGCAACCGAGCCAGGGCGCGCTCAGTTGCTTCATATGCCGTGATGTTATGAAGTCTCAAGTTGTCCGTGACTCCTTAAATCCATCTTCTTCTTGGTCTTCCCCTGCCTCTTGGTGTTTCGATTTTTTACTAAATAGTTGGCATTGTTGAGAGACATAATTTATTCTGTATTCAATTGCAAATCTTCACTTAGTTTTTCACTTTATAATTTATTCTCTCACTCATAGAAAAAGTCTCCACAGTGAACACATGGAATAATTCCAGAATTATTGCCTGCACAGATATAAAGATAGTCTGGTTTGCTGTTTCAAACCATGGCAGGTAGAATTCCGGTATCAAAAACAGACATATCCTGAACATTTCAGCTAAATCGGTTTAGTAGTTTCTGAGTCTATAGGTAATAAACACACAAACATTGATATATATATAATATTTTTTAAAATTTTTATTTTCCACAAATTGTCTTGCTGATTTAAAAAAAAAAAATACATTTTGCTCAGGCTGATACTATATCAGTGCTGCTATCTTCCTAACTATATTTGCCCATGGTTGTATTTTACAGTCCTTGAACAAATTGTTTGCTATGTGTATAAGTCTAATTGTTGTTGAATGTCAAATTAAGAATTGACACAGCACTCAGGACACTCTTATAAGTGCTCCGTCCCCCCAACTTCAGCAGCAAGCGAAGAGTTCCAATTCTGATGACACCAGTAGCCTTCTAATTGTATATCCGTCTCATCCTTCCCCTGAGTGTTGAGCATCGGCCAGATCCCCTGGTAACTCTTTGCAGCATCATTCTCCTCAGACCGTAATGATCTATCTGTGCATCTGCACTGTTCACTTGTTCCCAAAGGGCCCTCACAATATCTAGATCAACACCAAGTGATGCAGAGCCGGCCAGTCTATCTGCCTGCTCATTTCCCACCACACTGGCATAACCTGGAGAAAATATCCAAAGGATGCTAACTACCTGGGACCTCTGAAGTGATGCTTGCCCCTCTGCACAAAGCATGCCTGTCTTCATCTTTCTCAGCACGCTCTGTGAGTCAGTCTAATTGTAGTAATTATTCAGAGAGGTTCCACTTGAATGCAGACACAATTCTTGGCATTAACTGGTTGTAAACTCTGGCGGGAAGTTCTGGTTGTTCGTCCACTTCTGGACATACATGTTGTCCCAGAACTTGAATTTTGCATGCACATCCCTTATACAGATCTGGCTTTTTTGTATGCAACCTGTTGGTTCCTTGCCTCTCAGGCAAATGCACACCGACTTAGAAAGAAACTGCTAATTAGTTGCCTTGTACGACATGCCTGTTAGGGAGGCAGTGGGTCTGTTCCTTTCTTTCTCAAATTAGGGCCACAAAACCAGCGCAGAAAATTGAGAATGTAGTGTTAGCCTAAAATGTATGACATTAAGAGGTCCTCGATGGGTGGTATCGTCTGCCACCTATAACTCCTAGAATATTTAGTGGTAAAAATGTTATGTATTTTCAGTTTTGATGTCCCATGTGTGGGTTCCGGGGCTCTATTATAGGGAAAACAAGAATAGACCCACTGCCTACCCAAAAGCATGACGTAAGAGTCGACTAATTGGGAGCTTCCTTCAAAGTCAGAGTGCATCTGCCCGAGAGGCAAGGAATCGGCAGTCTGCATACAAATGAGTCAGATTTGTAAAACAGATGTACATGCGACACTCAGATTTTGGAACAGGACTGCAGTCTAGAAGTGGATAAACAACCAGAGTTTACAGCTGGTGAATGCGAAGAAGAGGAAGAAGTTTTGATGTTATTTCATTGTTAACATATGCCAGTGAAAGTTGAAGAACATAAAAAAAAAAAAAACAGAATGGAACAAAAGTTAAATACAATCGAAAACAAATACCTGAGGAAAATGTTGAGCATAAAATGTTCAAGAGGAGTGAAGAAATAAGAGAACTGTCTAGGCAACCAGTGGTAACAATAGTTATAACACAAAGAAGATGGTACTTTATTAGTCACTTCCAGAGAAGAAACGGGCAGAGAATCACCAAAAAGGTAATAAAATAAAAAATTAATTGAGAAAGCCAAGACATCCAAAAGAAATTATACAATAAATGTTGATGAGGCAGGCCAAGGGTGCTGGACTGAATTCCATTCATGATATTGAAGAGATTGCACAAGAATGAATGGAATGGGCACTTGTCTGCTGAGACAACCCAAGTTCTGAAACAAGACCAAAGTCCAGAGGTGGACAGACAACCCAAACATTCTGTGAAGAGGAAAAAAAACGAAGAAGAATTACCTTGTCTTGTCGCATGATATTCATACTCCCCTTTATCCATGTACACACAAGCATTTTCTCTCTCTCTCCCCCTCCCCCCTCTTTCTCTCTCAGACAGACAGAGGCCTATACAGTGCGTTGTTTGCATGCTAGTATTAAAGTATTATGCTAGCGTTCACGGTATTTGCTTCTCATGCATTTTTCAGCAGCCATGGGCTATTGCAGTTCTTTCATCTACCACTTGTGACATTTTGTCTGTTCTAATTGCTTTTACTTGTTGTACAGTAGAAACGGGTATCACAATGGCTAGCATACTTACCTTTTGCCTCAGTGGTCATGCGTTTGAATCCACATAGTGGCAATAATTTTTAATAGCTGATCTGGGTTCTCAGGTTGACTTAGTCTATAGAGGCCAGCAGGAAATATTCTGGGAAATAAAGGTGGCTTGTATGCTATTGACCCGCACCCATTAAGTACCAGTTTGTCTGTACAAACTTTAGCTACCATTGTAAACCCAGTGCACCCTCAAGACCTGAAAAAGGTGCTGTTTACTTTACATCTGTTTGTTTACTTTACATTATGTAGTTTGGTATTGCATTTTTGTCTTTTGTATAGTTATACAACAGTTATTATATTGATCATCCCCAGTACAAAAGTATAATTTTAGCTTTTAAAATACTTTCAATGATTACGTCAGCATTTCCTTACACCTTCCATACACGGAGGAATATCACCAGTAGAACTGGTTTGGAACATTAGGAATCAGTATCTGTGGAGCGATGTAAATGCCTTTGCCAACTGACAAGACTCTTGAGCATAATTATTTGTTCCCCGTGTGGGTTCTGGGGCCCTGTTGTAGGGAAAACTAAAATAGACCCACTGCCTACCCAAAAGCATGTCTTAAGAGTCTGTTAATTGGGAGCTTCTTTCAAAGTCAAAATGCATCTGCCTAAGAAGCAAGGAACCAGCAGTCTGCATACAAATGAGTCAGATCCTTAGAATTGATGCACACGTAACACTTAGGTTCTGGAACAAGACTGCAGTCCAGAAGTGGATGAACAACTAGAACTTTTCGCCAGAGTTTACAGCTGGTAAACGCGAAGAAGAAAGAAGAAGAAGATAATTATTTATCTTAGATATCTTCTACATATGTCCTTGCATGATTTCAATTGCAAGTAATCTATGTTTTGTTATTTACAAAACTGCTTGCATAGTTAATGGGACTGTTATGTTATAATTTTTTTTTTTCATGTCTGTGTGGAAGATGTGCATGTGACAGCTTTTTGGGGGTAAAATGTGCAGTTTGTATCTGGAATTTGTCTGTGATTATTTGTATGTTTGCTAAACTGTTGACTAAGATTTTCTTGTTTACTACATTTTACAGTTTCTGTAGCTTTATTTACAGAATTTTATATTAATTTCCTACATATATATGTATAGAAATTAACAGACGGGGAACCCTTGAGTCCGTAGATATAATGGTCAGATAGACAAGAACTGATTGATGCTTTTAGAAAGAAGTAGAGTGACAAGAGGACACATAGACAAAACAAAAACAAATGCTTTAGTTACCAAGCTGGGAATCATACTATCCCTCCAAGTGATGATGGCACATCACTGCAGAAGCAAGGTGTACTAATATGAGTGGCCACTCGACACCACTAAAAAGATGTCTTTGTAAGCAAGATATATCATAAGCTTGAATCCCCAACTATAGATTAGAGACATAATTCAATTCACACTATTTAAATAGCAACATATGTTGCACTCTTTCTCTCAGGCTCTTCTTTCTCCTGTTCACTTCCACTTTACTTTCTCTTCCTCTGCCTCTTTTCTCTCTACTTCTTTTTATGAGTGCCGATGAGTTCTTGTCTACACTTGTATTTATTCACTTCAGACATATGTATACATTTGAAGTTGACCAGATATAGTTTTTCACTAATTTATTGATAAATACTGAAAACCGGGTTTAAATACTCAGTAAAGTGATTGCATGTTTTTTCGGTCTAGGATAAAAAATAAACATCCTAACCTGCCCGCAGAGTTTGTGTGGCACCAGTGGTTTAAAGTCCTGGATCAATTACACCCCGCACCCCTCACACTCGCGCGCACACACGAAGTGCCATAAAAGGTAGTTTGGTACAGGCAGTAATAAGAGTTGGCCACATTCTTTTCCCCCACTAATTCATTGTATATTCATACTTATGTTTTCAATAACAAATTCTTTTATTTCAGGAAGATGTTCCGATCAAATTAGATTCGTTTGAGTCACATAAAGCACACGAGAAAAACAAGGTAAATAATTATATTCTTTTCCTGTCTATTAAAAGCCAACACATTTTTCTTACATTCTGTACTTTTTAAAATAAAAATCAATTTGAACTAGTAGTTAATCGAGAACACCTAGGACTGGGTTCTGTGTAAAGATGTAAATGCCTTGCAGTCTAACAAGAAACACATTGAGGATGAATTTTTACTAGTTGCAGCTGTTGTAGAAAGTCAGGGAGGCCAAGATTTAGAAATTATTGCTGCTTAAATATGTAAGCCTGATCTATAATAAAAAATGTGTCGATTTGAAGGAATACAAAATATTTCAAGGGTGTGATAATGAAAAACATTTAGAAAGAGGGATTTATCATTCTTAAGATGTATCATGACCTTGCTATGGTATGTTTGTACAAACCATTTGAAATATAATTAAGATTTTTACACCATTAATTATATCTTGCTTCATTACATAACTCCTTGGTTTTTGCTTTTCATTGAATTTGGTTGAGGGCCTATGCTCCATTGGGGCATAAAGGACAAGCAAAAGTTTATATAACAACTTTAACATGTGCCTTAGAGTACCAGATGCTGTAGATGAAGTTTTAAACAGTTTTGCTGCTGAAGTCTGTTTTGTATCAGTTCTTTAACAATGACACTTGTATCACTCTTTAAACTATAAACATTAAAATGGCTTCGATATGCTTTATGATCATTGTGGCTGTCTTAGAAACCAGTATGTTGTAGATATGGAATTTTAGCTGTTCTGTCACAGCAGTATGTTGAACATAACATAATCACAATATGCTGTGTATAACGTTTACATGGCTTTATAACCATATTTTACTAGGAGCTTGCTTGATGTTTTTTTTTTTAATTGGCACTTTTATAGGAACATCTGGATTTGAGCTAAAGTATTGCATTTGTACACAATAATATAAAAAGTTTACAGATACAGACAGCTGCTGGTATGATAAAACATGTAATAAAACCCTGGGTGTGGGGGCCGTGAGATAAAAATTGTATCACTCAGCTGCATGTAACAGCTTGCACGACACTTATAGAAATGTTTATTTTCCCCCTGTGCTTCAGGTTATTGCTTGTGCTTCAATCAATTTGTCCTTAATTACCGGCCTAAAACTGTGCCACCTTCAGTGGTTATGCTATTGTGTTACACTAGGAAAACAAATATATACAGCCCAGTAGGGTTTTGGTAATGTAGCTTTCATTTTAACACCTCAGATTTTGTTTGGGCGGGGGGAGGGGAAATTTCTTCTTTTCTAACCCAACTTAAAGTGGGCACCAGGAGAAATGTCATGAGAAAAAAGACAGTCGTCCCCTGTGGGGTTTCCGGGGCCCTATTATAGGGAAAACAAGAATAGACTCACTACCTACCCAAAAAGCATGTCGTAAGAGTTGACTAATTGGAAGCTTCTTTCGAAGTCAGAGTGCATCTGCCTGAGAGGCAAGGAACCAACGGTCTGCACACAAATGTGTCAAATCTGTCAAACCGATGCACAGGCAACACTCAGGTTCTGGAACAGGACTGCAGTCCAGAAGTGGACGAACAACCAGAACTTTCCACCAGTTTACAGCTGGTGAACGCAAAGAAGAAGAAGAAGAAATAAGGCAGTCATGTGATGTTGAGTCTAGAGCTGATTGTTGATAAAAATAGATCTAGCACAATATACTTGAAAAGGTCTTTACTTTTTTTTAATCATCATCATCATCCCTTTGTGCCATTACACAAAGGGCTGACAGTTAAGTATTCCATTCTGTTCTGTCCTGTTCAGTCATTTCCATATTGTGGATGGAATCCAGTCCTTTCCTCTTTGGCTTCCTGGCTCCCTTGTGGGAAAACAAGAATAGATCCACTGCCTTCCCAACAAGGTTGTCATAAGAGTTGACTAACTGGGAACTTCTGTTGAAGTTGGAGGGCATCTGTTTGAGAGGCAGGGGGCCAACAGTTTGCATGTAAATAAGCCAGATCTGTAAAACGGATGTACACACAGCAGAGATCCCTGGGGATCATTGCTAAAGCTTTAAAGTTAAAGCTTTGTGTGACAGTCATCACAGGAAACTGGCCAAAGCATTAGTTAGTTAGTTAGTTGGGTTATCATCATTGCACTCCGGACATGTCCATAGGTGCTCAGATCCTCCCCTCAGTATGAACCCCAACGTCCGATGGCTAATAGTACCAGTTCTATGTTGATTAACAAGTCTTCTGACGTGTCTGGTGTGCGTCTCGCTTTTTGCTGTGCCGATCTTAATTCCCAAGTCTGCCATTCTGGCGAGTGATATGGATTCACTGCCACCAAAGTCCTCTATCCTTCCCATTTCTCTGAGGGCATTGATAATATCAGCATGATCCATAGGCTGACCGTCGGTAGTAATAGCGGATCCAGCCAACCTGTCAGCTCTTTCATTTCCATCGACGCCTGCGTGTCCCGGAAAGCATTATGAAGTTAAAACCTAGTGCAATGAAATTGATTCTCTTAACTTTAACCCCCCCCCCCCCTTTTTTTTTTTAAATCAACATTTTTGTTTAAAAACAAATCTGTTTGTGGTATGAGTGTTGGGGGTTATTCTTCTGTCTGTATTTTCCCTAGAAAACTAGAATAGGAAGGATTTGTTTTAATATTTTATTTCTGTCTTCTAAATTATTTGTTTCTTATTGCACAGCATTGTGTTTCACTTTGGGTAGGTGAGTTTTTCTCTAAAGAAAATTTCACATTCTAAGCATTTCTTGTTTGTTACATTAGTTTGATTGTTACTGTGTTTTTTGTGTGTGTGTGTTTGTTGGAAAGATATTCTACTCAGGTGTCATCGTAAGCACATTAGCTATGAAGTTAGAAATAGATATACAAAAGAGTGTATTTCATGGAAACAAAAATAATCATATACAGAGTTTTTTTCCACGCCTTAGATGTACCGGACAAGTAGTTGTCAGAATTGTAAGTATTCGGCATATAGGGCTAGACCTATATTTTATAGACGATGGTAGGTGATTTGGTCAGCATCATGCTGGCCGCCTTTACTTTGCAATACTCCACCTGGTATCCTTTCTAGGCTGGGTCGAGCCAAGGTCATTTTGGAAAAAAACATCTGGTACCGCCAGGACCCGAACCATTGACCTTCTGATCAACAGGCGAGCGTCTAGCTGCTACGACACAGTGGCTCCTGATAGAATTGTGTCTAGTTGTAAACAAACAGTATTGCACTTATCTCCGGGAGTCTGTCCATTACAGTAGTAGCTCATTAAAAGGATGTGCGTCTGGCCTGAGTATCAGTAGTGTAATGATCCAAGAGTTTTGTTTATTGCCAAATGAGATTAGTGACTTCTTCTTCTTCTTCTTCTCTTCCACCTTGTACCTCAGCGAAGTGTCGGGGGGAGATGTAACTTTCATTGATGAGCTCTGTCAAGAGCTCTAGTAAGACTGATGTTAATTTCTATAAGGCTGTTCTTAATGCCATCACTCCATTTTTTTCTGAGGTTTTCCACTTGCTGTATACCCATTGTAACGTTTTAATGTGGCTCGTTGTGGCAGATAGTACCAAGGCATTCTTGTTAGGTATCCAAACCACTTCATTTGTTGTTTCTTTATCGCCTGTAAAACTAGCTTTATTCCTAGCATTCGTCTGATTTTGTGATTTCGTATTCTGTCTTTCCTTGAAACTCCTGCAGCTCTTCTAGGGCATTTCATCTCTGTTGTCACAATTTTACGTTCATTGGAGGATGTAAGTGTCCACGTTTGGCATTGATAGCATAATGTTGGTCCAAAAATTGTTCTGAAAAGATTCACTTTAGGACTCCAGGGTATCTGCTTGTGTGTCAACAGGGAAGATAGTTGCCCCATTACATGGTTAGCTTTTGCACATCTCGAGCTAATTTTTCTGTCCAGTTTGTTAGTGACATCACAGAGTTTTAATTTTCATTATGTTATACCAATACGTGTACAGTATCATATACCAGTGTGTGTTTTAGGTTATTTGGTATAGAACACATACAGACAGATAATATGCTTAGTGTCTCAATATAGATAGATGATGTGGCTTATGTAGTTTTTGCACAGGTTATTGTTTACTGTAGCCAAACTTCATTTACCGGCAGCTTTAAGTTTTGAACCACTGATATCTAAACAAATGTTTGGTGGTTGATCTATACAGAAGGTATATATTTACCTCAGAATTTTGGACTACAAATTTTGAAGTCAGCTTGTACACCAGATCGACTTGTATGCCCACTGTTTATGATAACTTTGTGTGTTGTAGAAGTAATGACAAACCATGAAGGCTAACCCGGTCAAAAAATGCTCGCAGAAATAAGATGTGTTGGCCGAAAGGTTCAAATATCGCAGCCATGCTGTAAACGGACACAACGCAATTACATCTTTGAATGAACGCAGAAGAAGAAGAAGAAGTGATGACATTGCTGTTTTTGTGCTTCATTTTATGTTCATGTAACTCTGTAGTAACGCACCTGATGAGAGACAGCGAAGTATGCCTGACAGTAAATTGTGCAATGTATTGTTTGTGTCGGCATTATTTAAATTCATTACAGGAAAACATTATTTTGAATTACGGGTATTGTTGCTGAGGTAAATTCATTAATGTTTGGGCACTTGTATCACTGTTTATTTCAGTACACTAAGCAGAGTAATGAAGATGTAGGCTATACATCTGGATGTGCTGAGGAGAGAGAACTGAGTGCCCTGGACACGACCATCAGCGAAGAGAAGAAGGCAGAGTTTCAGACATGGAAGGAACATGATGAAACATTGCCCATGTTTTGTGAAATTGATGGTAAGTCAGTTGTGTGCTGTATTTGTTGTTTAATGATGCTGTCGGACCTGGATCTGGAGGCGATGTGATGTCTTCACATTGGAGGTTGGCCACAGTGTTCCCCACTGCTGTCTTTGGCAATATTATTACCTTACATTACTAATAGCTGTTATCTATGCCGTGCACAGCACTTACCCTGAAGATGCACATGGCAAGGGGTGTGACTCCATATTCCTGGCTAGGCTGATGAATATGAGGGTACAGCCTGGAGCTGTGAGAAATGAACATTGCACTAAGGGGACAGGATGGTTGACTAATCAACACAGAGCAGGTGTCATTAGTTGTTTTACACTTGTGGGGTTTTTGAGGATGAGTTCGGAGCACCTGTGGATCTGTCCGGATTGCTGTGATGATGATCATTACTAATCACTAATAGTTGTTCACTTTTGTAAAGCCTACTAGCTGTTGGTTATCCAAAGACAATTTGTTGTTGGGTATCAAAAGGTTAATTACTATTTGTTGTAAGACTAATTACTGTTTGTCATCAAAAGGTTAATTACTATTTGTTATAAGCCTAATTACTGTTTGTTATCAAAAGGTTGATTACTGTTTGTTATAAAACTAATTACTGTTTGTTATAAGACTAATTACTGTTTGTTATAAGACTAATTACTGTTTGTTATAAGACTAATTACTGTTTGTTATAAGACTAATTACTGTTTGTTATAAGACTAATTACTGTTTGTTATAAGACTAATTACTGTTTGTTATAAAGACTAATTGCTGTTTGTTATAAAAATAATTGATGGCTGTTTGTTAAAAGACTAATTGCTGTTTGTTAAAAGACTAATTACTGTTTGTTATAAGACTAATTGCTGTTGTTATAAGACTAATTGCTCTTTGTTATAAGACTAATTGCTCTTTGTTATAAGACTAATTACTGTTTGTTATAAGACTAATTGCTGTTTGTTATAAGACTAATTGCTGTTTGTTATAAGAATAATTACTGTTTGTTATAAGACTAATTACTGTTTGTTATAAGACTAATTACTGTTTGTTATAAGACTAATTACTGTTTGTTATAAGACTAATTGCTGTTTGTTATAAGACTAATTGCTCTTTGTTATAAGACTAATTGCTCTTTGTCATAAGACTAATTGCTGTTTGTTATAAGACTAATTGCTGTTTGTTATAAAACTAATTACTGTTTGTTATAAAACTAATTACTGTTTGTTATAAGACTAATTACTGTTTGTTATAAGACTAATCACTGTTTGTTATAAGACAAATTGCTGTTTGTTATAAGACAAATTGCTGTTTGTTATAAGACAAATTGCTGTTTGTTATAAGACAAATTGCTGTTTGTTATAAGACAAATTGCTGTTTGTTATAAGACAAATTGCTGTTTGTTATAAGACTAATTACTGTTTGTTATAAGACTAATTACTGTTTGTTATAAAACTAATTACTGTTTGTTATAAGACAAATTGCTGTTTGTTATAAGACAAATTGCTGTTTGTTATAAGACTAATTACTGTTTGTTATAAGACTAATTACTGTTTGTTATAAGACTAATTACTGTTTGTTATAAGACTAATTACTGTTTGTTATAACACAAATTGCTGTTTGTTATAAGACTAATCACTGTTTGTTATAAGAATAATCACTGTTTGTTATAAAACTAATTACTGTTTGTTATAAGACTAATTACTGTTTGTTATAAGACTAATTACTGTTTGTTATAAAGACTAATTGCTGTTTGTTATAAGAATAATTGATGGCTGTTTGTTAAAAGACTAATTGCTGTTTGTTATAAGACTAATTGCTGTTTGTTATAAGACTAATTGCTGTTTGTTATAAGACTAATTGCTGTTTGTTATAAGACTAATTACTGTTTGTTTTAAGACTAATTACTCTTTGTTATAAGACTAATTACTGTTTGTTATAAGACTAATTGCTGTTTGTTATAAGACAAATTGCTGTTTGTTATAAGACAAATTGCTGTTTGTTATAAGACTAATTACTGTTTGTTATAAGACTAATTACTGTTTGTTATAAGACTAATTGCTGTTTGTTATAAGACTAATTGCTGTTTGTTATAAGACTAATTACTGTTTGTTATAAGACTAATTACTGTTTGTTATAAGTCTAATTACTGTTTGTTATAAGACTAATTACTGTTTGTTATAAGACAAATTGCTGTTTGTTATAAGACTAATCACTGTTTGTTATAAGACTAATCACTGTTTGTTATAAAACTAATTACTGTTTGTTATAAGACTAATTACTGTTTGTTATAAAGACTAATTACTGTTTGTTATAAAACTAATTACTGTTTGTTATAGGACTAATTACTGTTTGTTATAAAACTAATTACTGTTTGTTATAAGACTAATTACTGTTTGTTATAAAACTAATTACTGTTTGTTATAAAACTAATTACTGTTTGTTATAAGACTAATTACTGTTTGTTATAAGACTAATTGCTGTTTGTTATAGGACTAATTGCTGTTTGTTATAAGAATAATTACTGTTTGTTATAAGACTAATTACTGTTTGTTATAAGACTAATTACTGTTTGTTATAAGACTAATTACTGTTTGTTATAAGACTAATTGCTGTTTGTTATAAGACTAATTGCTCTTTGTTATAAGACTAATTGCTCTTTGTCATAAGACTAATTGCTGTTTGTTATAAGACTAATTGCTGTTTGTTATAAAACTAATTACTGTTTGTTATAAAACTAATTACTGTTTGTTATAAGACTAATTACTGTTTGTTATAAGACTAATCACTGTTTGTTATAAGACAAATTGCTGTTTGTTATAAGACAAATTGCTGTTTGTTATAAGACAAATTGCTGTTTGTTATAAGACAAATTGCTGTTTGTTATAAGACAAATTGCTGTTTGTTATAAGACAAATTGCTGTTTGTTATAAGACAAATTGCTGTTTGTTATAAGACTAATTACTGTTTGTTATAAGACTAATTACTGTTTGTTATAAAACTAATTACTGTTTGTTATAAGACAAATTGCTGTTTGTTATAAGACAAATTGCTGTTTGTTATAAGACTAATTACTGTTTGTTATAAGACTAATTACTGTTTGTTATAAGACTAATTACTGTTTGTTATAAGACTAATTACTGTTTGTTATAACACAAATTGCTGTTTGTTATAAGACTAATCACTGTTTGTTATAAGACTAATCACTGTTTGTTATAAAACTAATTACTGTTTGTTATAAGACTAATTACTGTTTGTTATAAGACTAATTACTGTTTGTTATAAAGACTAATTGCTGTTTGTTATAAGAATAATTGATGGCTGTTTGTTAAAAGACTAATTGCTGTTTGTTATAAGACTAATTGCTGTTTGTTATAAGACTAATTGCTGTTTGTTATAAGACTAATTGCTGTTTGTTATAAGACTAATTACTGTTTGTTTTAAGACTAATTACTCTTTGTTATAAGACTAATTACTGTTTGTTATAAGACTAATTGCTGTTTGTTATAAGACAAATTGCTGTTTGTTATAAGACAAATTACTGTTTGTTATAAGACTAATTACTGTTTGTTATAAGACTAACTACTGTTTGTTATAAAGACTAATTGCTGTTTGTTATAAGAATAATTGATGGCTGTTTGTTAAAAGACTAATTGCTGTTTGTTATAAGACTAATTGCTGTTTGTTATAAGACTAATTGCTGTTTGTTATAAGACTAATTGCTGTTTGTTATAAGAGTAATTACTGTTTGTTATAAGACTAATTACTGTTTGTTATAAGACTAATTACTCTTTGTTATAAGACTAATTACTGTTTGTTATAAGACTAATTACTGTTTGTTATAAGACAAATTGCTGTTTGTTATAAGACAAATTGCTGTTTGTTATAAGACTAATTACTGTTTGTTATAAGACTAATTACTGTTTGTTATAAAGACTAATTGCTGTTTGTTATAAAAATAATTGATGGCTGTTATAAGACTAATTACTGTTTGTTATAAGACTAATTACTGTTTGTTATAAGTCTAATTACTGTTTGTTATAAGACTAATTACTGTTTGTTATAAGACAAATTGCTGTTTGTTATAAGACTAATCACTGTTTGTTATAAGACTAATCACTGTTTGTTATAAAACTAATTAGTGTTTGTTATAAGACTAATTACTGTTTGTTATAAAGACTAATTACTGTTTGTTATAAAACTAATTACTGTTTGTTATAAAACTAATTACTGTTTGTTATAAGACTAATTACTGTTTGTTATAAGACTAATTACTGTTTGTTATAAAACTAATTACTGTTAGTTATAAAACTAATTACTGTTTGTTATAAAACTAATTACTGTTTGTTATAAGACTAATTACTGTTTGTTATAAGACTAATTACTGTTTGTTATAAGACTAATTACTGTTTGTTATAAAACTAATTACTGTTTGTTATAAAACTAATTACTGTTTGTTATAAAACTAATTACTGTTTGTTATAAGACTAATTACTGTTTGTTATAAGACTAATTACTGTTTGTTATAAGACTAATTACTGTTTGTTATAAGACAAATTGCTGTTTGTTATAAGACTAATCACTGTTTGTTATAAGACTAATCACTGTTTGTTATAAAACTAATTACTGTTTGTTATAAGACTAATTACTGTTTGTTATAAAGACTAATTACTGTTTGTTATAAAACTAATTACTGTTTGTTATAAAACTAATTACTGTTTGTTATAAGACTAATTACTGTTTGTTATAAAACTAATTACTGTTTGTTATCAGACTAATTACTGTTTGTTATAAAACTAATTACTGTTTGTTATAAAACTAATTACTGTTTGTTATAAAACTAATTACTGTTTGTTATAAAACTAATAACTGTTGTTATAAGACTAATTACTGTTTGTTATAAAGACTAATTACTGTTTGTTTTAAAACTAATTACTGTTTGTTATAAGACTAATCACTGTTTGTTATAAAACTAATTACTGTTTGTTATAAGACTTATTACTGTTTGTTATAAAGACTAATTGCTGTTTGTTATAAGAATAATTGATGGCTGTTTGTTATAAGAATAATTGATGGCTGTTTGTTAAAAGACTAATTGCTGTTTGCTATAAAACTAATTGCTGTTTGTTATAAGACTAATTGCTGTTTGTTATAAGACTAATTGCTGTTTGTTATAAGACTAATTGCTGTTTGTTATAAGACTAATTGCTGTTTGTTATAAGACTAATTTCTGTTTGTTATAAGACTAATTACTGTTTGTTATAAGACTAATTACTGTTTGTTATAAGACTAATTTATGTTTGTAATAAGACAATTTGCTGTTTGTTATAAGACTAATCACTGTTTGTTATCAAAAGGTTAATTACTGTTTGTTATAAGACTAATTACTGTTTGTTATAAGACTAATTACTGTTTGTTATTTAAAGACTTTTGGGTGCTGTTTATCAAAACACTCCTGGCTATTGATTATCAAAAGATTCATTGATGTCATTTATCAAAAGACTTGACACTGTTTGTTATCAGAAGATAAATGATGTTTGCACACTTTTATGAGCTTTTTAAAAAAATTGTTTTTGCTTTTAGGAGATGCTTTTCCATGTGAGTTTATGTAAAAATAAAATAAAATAATTGTTTCTGTGAACTGCAAAAGCTGTGTTGATGTGTTGATGAATTGTTGTCTGCTGCTTTCAGATGAGCAGTCCAATGATTTAGAATACGTGGATCTTCTTCTTAACCCTGAGCGCTACACGGGCTACAAGGGACCATCACCACACAGAATATGGAGGTCCATATATCAGGAGAACTGCTTTCAGTGAGTTCTTCATTAATTTTTCTGAAGAAGATAAATTAGATGCATTAACACTGGTTCAGCTTCAGTATGATGACATTAGATTATTAGTATAAAAAAAGGGGACCCTTTTTCACGCCTTTGTGCATATAGGGTTAAACCTATATTTTATAGACCAATCGGCACAAGATGGGTGATGTGGTCAGCATCACGCCAGCCACCTTTACGTCCCAGGACTGCACCCGGTATCCACTCAAGGCTGGGTCGTCCTGGGAGTCAGGGTCATTTTTGAAAAAAGTCAGGCTCCGCCAGGAAGCAAACCCATGACCTTCCAATCCGCGGTGAGTTTCTAGCCGCTCCACTACGGCGACTCCCAGATTATTAGAATAAAGGATCCATTTTACGCTAGTGGAGCATTTGGTAATTGTCTTGAACAGGGTTTTATTTGTTGAGATTGGTGGTTTGTATGGGTTTTAAATCCTCCCTTCTGATCCAAGTGAGAAACCATTACATTGTAATTTGATCATGAAATGTGTTTTCTGTTTTAAAGGCTGACAAATATCTTGTCCATGTTAATAAATTGATAATGAAATGTGTTTTCTGTTTCAAAGGCCAGAGAAAAAAATTGGTTATGGCCCAGATAGATCAATGAGTTTTGGGCCTGATGGCTCATTGGAGTCTGGTAAGTTGCAGTTTTACATTGTAAAAATGTTTGTATGGAAAAGTTCTACTTCATGTTTGAGTCAACCAACCTGTGTGTAGTTACAGAACATAGATTGAGTTGTAAATAATCTTCTGCTGTAGTTTGGTTGATATGACAGAATATTGTAGTCATGAGTTAATATTTTACCAGTTAGGTTAGTTGTGTATCCTTTACAGGACGTTGCAGAGCCAACCCCAACAGCCCCTGGCTGTTGTGTGGGTTTTCTAGGCAAATTTAAGTCCAGTAGTTTACCATTGCATTCTGGACGGTCGGCTTTCTTGATACCACTGTCGAAACCAACGCAAGGCGCATGGCCCGCAGCTGGAATCGAACCCGGCATCCCGGCATTACGAAGCGTTCGCATCGACTTAGCCACAGAGCCGACATTTTACCAGTATGTTAGAGATATTGATAGGAGCCGCTGTAATGTAACGGCTAAGTACCCACACGTCGGCCCAAAAGTTCAGGGTCCAAGATTTTTACAAATGACCCTGGCTGTCAGGCTAAGATGGGTGCCCGGTTAATGTCCTGAAAAATAAAAATGGTCATCCTGAAGTTGACCACATTACTCACGGAGTGCCGATATATCTGAATAAATATAGGTTATAGGTCTAATACTGTATGCCCAATGTGCCAAAGGCATGAGAAGGGTCCTTTACTTTTACTTACTTTTATAAAAGGGGTATGAACAATGTTTCATAATTCTAACATACTGTGCTCTAAATTAGCTGATGACTAGTTGGTGTTTGAGTTGATTTTGACAACAGTATGGGAGTCAGATTGTTAAAAAAACAATGGCAAACTACTGAAAATTAAAATTGCCCACGAAATCCAAAAAAAGCCAACAAATGCTGATATTGATCAAATATTGTTATTGTCTCTTTGCTGAAATCTTTGGTTTTGTTTTAAACAACTAATAAAATATTAGGTAAAGTCTTTACAAGTATAACTCTGCAAATCTTTATGAGTGCATATATTACTAGGCAAGTTTAGTTCTGAGCATAGCTTGTATATATAAACTTAGACAGAACTGTTGTTACTAACATTATTTCAGTACAGCAGTTTTTTGTTTTGTTTATTTTTTTGCTGCTTTGTTCATTAACTGCCTTTGACTAGAAATATGAATTAAACCAAACATTGTTGAAAGTTGTTTTAAAAGAATAGATTTAACTAATTCCCTGTGTGGGGCCCTGTTGTGGGGGAAAACAAGAATAGACCCACTACCTCTAGAAAAAGCCTGTTGCAAGAGTCGACTAATTGGGGGCTTCCTTTGAAGTGGAAGTACATCCACCTGAGAGGATACCAAGAGTCTTCACACAGGTAAGTCAAACCTGTAAAACGGATGTGCATGCAACACTTAGGCTCTCAAACAAGACCAGAGATGGACGAACAACCAGAAATTTCTGCTGGAATTTACAGACAGGAATGTGAAGAAGAAGACAAGACAAAGGTTGACCAAAATTACATCACAGATATTAATTTGTTACTGCCACTTTCTCAAATATAAACATTTCATTCTAAATTCGGAAGTCCTACTTTGATTCAAGCTAGTTATATTTACACATATGATAGATTGTAGGTAAAAAAAAAAAAGTAAAGATATCTTTTCACACCTTTAAGCTAGAGCCGGACTTTAGAAAAAAAACCTTGACTCCCAGGTCGACCCAGCCTTGAGTGGGTACCGGGTGCAGTCCTGGGAAGTAAAGGTGGCCGGTGTGATGCTGACCACATCACCCATCTTGTGCCAGTTTTTCTAGAAAAATATAGGTCTAGCCCTATATGCCCTATACGCCTAAAGGCGTGGAAAAGGGACCTTTCTTTTTTTTTTTTTACCTAAAAAAAAAAAGAAACTTGAATTATGTTGTACCTCAAATAATACAGACACCCCATTGAGTATAAACACATCAACTGAATTAATGTACAAATTATCTAGCAGCAGAGTCTAGGAGGCTGACAAAATACCAGAAGAGAGAAAATAAATATATCTGATTAAGCTGCTAAAGAAAAGCAACCAGCTGTATTGCTAAAAATATACATAATGTTTCGTTTGTTGTCAGTTTGTAAGAAAATATTAAGCTGGAGAAATGCAGATGCCATTGACAAACTAAGGGATTAACAGACAGGCTATGGACTAAACAGATTCATTGTTGACCAGATAACCCCACTGGGAAAATAGCAGAAGAAAAAGTTAAAATGAGTTCATAAATTTTATGCAGGAATTTTTTGACAGCTTTTTGACATTGAAATGATAATCTTTTTGGAAACTGTCAAAGCATCATGTGACTATAGAAAAAAAAAACTTAACAGTAGTCAAATTTATATTTGAAGACATGAAATGCTGAATTCTTCATGATGATAGACTGGTCAGTATTTTGAAATAACAGAAATGCAACACTGAGATGGATATGGAGAGAACATGAAGTGAGCTACTTGATATAGCAAAAGAATGGAAGAGTTTGGCATAAGTTAGTTAACTGCCTGTGTTCCTAAGGGAGATAGATAACAGCAGGGGAAGGAAAAGGGGGTTTTGTGGGGGGGGGGGGATAATAATACCCCAGATTCAAACATCTTCTCTTGTTGCACAAATTGTCACAAGTCTTAATCTCACACAGTCACATTTATCACATACTTGGCTAAGATGCACACAGTCACCTGCTAAGAAATGCTAAAGCTTTGTTCATTTCTAACATTCTAACACTGCTACTTCTTATGGCATATGCAGGTTTGCAAATAATGTCTCTGTAATATACACAATACTTTGCTTTGTTTCAGGCGTAATATTTGGTAAAAGTTATAAAGGTATATTACTGAGGCTTTACTGACAGACCATTATACACACCCTTGATTTGTATCATATCAACTAGTTTTCCCCCCTTAGAAATATGGGCGTGGAATACAAACATTTGATGCACTGAAATTATAGGGACAGGTTTGCTTTACCACCATAACACAAGTGCTGCTAAACTAGTTATTTTGCTTTTAGTTCCACATTGATTTTCTGCAGATTGAGCTTTAAAAAAAAAACTTGGAATATTCAGACTGCACACAGGACATAGCAGTCAGCTTTTTACTTGAAGGGTCAAGTGCTTTATTAATATCTTACCCCAAACAGAGGAAATCCACAGGTCACGGGACAGTCTAATATTTTAGGGGGGGGGGGGGGGTAAATAGGTTGCATGCAGTCGTGGGTCCTAGGCTGCACTCTCTCTTGGGACGTAGGTCTGTTGGGTTAGGGCCAGTTCTAAATATTTTGGGGTCATTTGAAGCATCAGAAAGCAGGGAAACCCAGTATTACCACCCTCTAAAATGTTGGACTGTCCTGTGATGTCATGTGGGGTAGGATATTAATAAAGCACCAAGGGTTGTTCTTTCTGTGCACACCCAGTCCCACATCAAGCTTCTGATGCTAGTAGCATCATGTATTTTTTAGATCATTTGGCACTTAGTGAGTGATGTCATTAAAATCCCGCTGAGTGCTTTTACTTTCAAAGATATTCCCTTGTGCCCGTTTTAGACTAGGTAGGGGATAGGAGGAGGCAAGGTCAATTTAGGAAACAAATTGGACTCCATGCAGATTATAACTATAGACTGTCAGGCCGACAGAGGAGTGTCCAGTCACTAGGCCACCAAGCAGGCGCACAAACTGACTTGTCACCTATTTATCAAAAAAAAAAAAAAAAGCTAAGGATAGTGGTTACTAATGAATACTGTGCCCTTGGTAAAACTACAGGACACATTTGATACGGAACAGATTACAAAATTCAGGTTGACTTCTAAAGGTGTACAAAGAGGAAGAAAAAGCCATTGATGCCTTGCATTATGTTCAGATAAATATTTTAATGTTTTCTTAGTCTCAGTTTTGTATTTATGTTTTTTATTTTTCTTAAGACCCTTAGAATTTTTTATCTTTATTAATAATTAGTGTTTTTGACCATCAGTCCCAGCTTAAGAGTAGTCACTGCCGATCTTATGATATTGTACCGCTACAACAAAAAAGTTAATTATCTTTAATAAAATATATTATTTATATTTCAGAATTTTGTAGCCAGATGTTTGATTTAGTGCTAGTTTGAATCTTTAATTTCGCCTTAGTGTGGTTTATTTTAGCATGGTTTATGCCAGTTACAATTTCATTAATGAACCCATTTTACTGCATTTATTAAATTATTTTGTTATATTTGCTTAACCTTTTTATTTTTGCCAATGATTTTGCAATGAACAGCAGACGGAGAAGGTAATATGTTTGCTTTGTTTTTTGGAGACAGGCTGCAATATTAACTTTAAAAAAAATAAAATTTCAATCTGATTTGATGTGAACTCTTCAAGAGGATACATTCCCTCATTTGCCAGTTTGGCAGTGATTCTTGCAGACTAAAATGTTAGGTTTGTTGCATGACAGTACTCATACAATAAATGATATACTTACCTTACAGATTCAAGGATAAATGTTATACACTATAATACAGTATACAACAGTAATTATGTGCTATATAAGGAAGAATATGCAAACGATGGAACATTTAGCCAATAACCATAGCACACAAAAACAACAACCAGTATCAGCCATTGAACTTGGCACAAGAAAACCAGACTACAATTATAACCAAAAGCTCTTTTAGAGCTGGTTGAACTTGGCCAGATTTTTTCAGAAAACTTTCATCAAGCAAGCAAGCAAGCACAGACGGAACAATAAAATCACAAACAACCTTAGAAAAGTAATGACCCACATATGTGGCATTAGAAAGAACAAGCAGAAGATCCTTACATCTCCCCCAGCACTTCGATGAGTAGTTAGAAGAAAAGAAGAAGAAAAAGAAGGGAAAACTTGCAGTGGAAATAACTAGACCCTAATATTAGATGTTGTAGGCACATCAGGCATATGGGAAGAGCACCCATATTTTTACAGACCAATCAGCACTAGGTAGGTAATGTGGTCGGCATTACGCCAGTCCCCTTTACTTCCCTAGGACATACATCCT